GTGGGGGGGGGGGGGGGGGGGGGTTGATGATGATGGGGAGAGGGGGTAGACAGGATCCGTGCTGGGTATTATAGCCACATGGGAGAATTTCGCTGGTTTCTCTTTCGCCAATCTCCCCCCTAGTTTGAATTAGTTTTTAGTTGTACGAATATAAATGAATAGATTCTTATTATGAGAAGGCGAAGAGAAAATTAAACATTTACTTCATGGGAAAAAACTATGGCTGTGTTGCAGACACGCTTGGGAGGGTAGTTTTTCTTCTGACGCGTTATGTTGAAGAATTGTTGATCCAGAATAATTTCAAAACCTCGTGGGTCCTTACTTCAAAGATTAGTCTGTATGAGACTGCAAGTTTGGAACTGTTCACTGCAGTGATAAATGGGCTGATGGTGGAGTGTATAAATCAATAAGGAAATATATAGCTAATACTAACAACTTATAACATGGAAAGCGATGTCTTCTTGGACGTTGCGCTGTGTAGTCTCATAGAAAATGACCGACGTTTAGATTGTCTACTGCCTCTAACATCAAGGTGATGATGGCAGTAAGCACATCTGACACTTCCGATTACACGGCACATACCAGAAGATAGCCAACTTCAAACTCGCCGCCACAAAATCTCACAAACTGTGGTGTTTTTAGAAATCTGATATTATTTCTTGGACGGCGGACTAGGCCATGGTACATATATAATACAGGCCCAAGACTAACAAAGAGAACATATTGGTGAGCCCAGTATCTCAGAGTGCAGAGCGTAGAGTGTTAGGATGAATAATTAACAATTAATAATTAATATTATAGATTGCAACGAATACGAAGAAGTGGTCGTGGCCTACTTTGAGGCAGGTTTAGTCTCTTGGAATTCGCATGGAGGGATTGAGAGGAACCATGAAACACGTCAGTCAGGAGAGTCGGTTTCCTGGACAATATCTGAACCTGGGACTCCACGAATACAAAGCAGAAGTGCTATCGACTCTGCGCCAACGTTCGGTAGAGTACTGAGGGGAAAATTTGGATTTCAGAGACGGGGGTAACATGAGTAAGGATAAAATTGAATAATGAGTTTAATAATTCATATTGTTCACAACTCATTAATATGACGATAACATAAACTGAATATGACGGCGGGATTCGCAGTCCGCTTTGAAACAAATGCACATAGAATTTTACTCGGAAAACTTGAAATAACGAGATCACTGAAGAGACTAAGGCATAGTTTTCAGTATTATATCACAATAAATATTAAATAAACTGGAAGTAACAGAGCGAGCTGACTTATACAGCTCGGGATAGGGACCAGTGTAGAGCACATGACAACTCGTTCTGTAAGGTCCGGAATTTTTGACCAGTTAAACGACTACCAGTTTCTCAGGAATAAGTCTGCACTATAGAGTCTACTTAGCCTGTGTATATATCAAAGCTGCGGCAATATCATGGAACTCATAAATATTCCTTATTTTAGTGAGTATTGTATTGGTTTCACATCAGTGGAATTCTAATTTAACTGTCAATAATCTTCCTGCTCGGGGATACGTTTGTTGGTTGTCGGAAAGTAGAATATTGATCAGTCCAACTCTTACTGTAAATTGAACAACACAAAGTGTCAACATGGAATTTTATATAGTCCAGTGGTTCCTGAAACGTTTCCATATGCGGAAAATGTTTCTTTTGAAGTTCGTAAAAAGTATGCGTAACTGTGTATACTTTTACATAAAATGTAATTCTTAAGGCACATACTTAAAACGTCATG